TTTGGTTCTACTCACAAATTGTTAGACATTTAATTGAATAAGTCAAATATTTTTTGCTCAAATTAATTATATTGTCGTAACTTTGGGTAGTAACCTGTTATACTTGTACTTAACAATATTGTTTGGGTATAGAGCTTGGTTCTGGTTCGTCTGATTGATCCTGATTTGTGGTAATTTAGATTGTCTTATGAGTTCTTCATGCTTAATGCCAGAATAAAACAAATTTACCAGACGGATCACCTGATGGTAAGCAATCGGCGTCGCCTGGAACATCAAAGGCGTTACAAGTGCCTTACCGGCTTTTTGAGGATTAGGAGTTTGAGGATCGTTGGGGATTCAGGGATTGGGGAGATTGGGGAAGGGGAGGGTAATTGGGCCTGCGGTAACCTCACTCACGCGACGAAACACAACGCAAGAGTTGCTTCACGTCAGTTTTCTGTGAGGCCGTGGTATCACTCCGGTCGAGCCGGCCCATTCGTGCTGAAGCATGGCTCTCCCACACTTAGATATAAGATAAATAAATCAACAAGATCGAATATAAGTTTCATTATAGAGATATTAAATATTGTTGATTATAAGTATTTCCTTTGAAACTAACTGTTCAAAGTTTACAACACAAAACTGATTAATATTATAAGTTACAATTTGTAATTTGAGTGATTTTCTTTTGTTTATTCTTCATAAATGTTATTTGATCTGTTTCAATTGGAATTATTTGTAAAGTTGAAATTACTTGATAAGGTTGTTTATTAAATTACTTTTCAGGTTTCCAAGCTCAAGGGTTTATACTGGATCCTTTTTTTTGTTGAGGGGAGAAAATCATCCAATGACTTCTCCCGCCCGGGTGAGGCGAGAGGGAGTGTCAAACTCTTACTGACTAAAAGCCACCCTGTTCCTACTACTGCACTTTGAGCCGGAGCCCCGGCAACCTGTTAAGTCTTCCGCGGCTCCGTATCGGCATCAGCCCTGTTGGGCCCCATCTGTGGTGGTCTGATGGCTCCTTGAAGCGCGCGCGTAATGCGACGCGCCGTACGCTCGAGCCTGGGTCTGTTCGGGCGGCAAATCACCCGTGCTTGCCGTCGGCAGGCCCGTGGCTATACTGGATCCTGCTACTTTTATTTCTATCACGATGGAAATTCTCAGACTTTCCTCGGTTCCTAGGGATGATGGGGGGCGTGCCAAGGTCTGACTGGCTAAAACCAACGCGGTGTTCCTGCTGCTCCGGTTGTTGCTGTGACCCGGGTCGCCATGGCGGATGGTAGTGATGGTACACCGCATCTGGTAGGCCTCGACCCACCGCTGTGGATGAACCCTGTTACTGGGATCCACAGACTAGTACGCTGTTTATTATAGTGCAACTTTATAATTTTCTCATTCCATAAATTCAGATACTCGAATAATTACATCAAAGTATCAAGTATAATTAAGTGTTTGCCTGTCGACAGTCAACTGTTAAGGACAAATTCTCCTACCAACTCAACGCAGTTTGGTAAACAAAAAATAAATAAGTTTTATATTTTGGTAAATTGTAGTTCTTATCTAAACATGATAGATATGTTTTTCAATTCAAAATTTCGTTCGAGTCAAAATATTTCATGTTATAGCAAATCGTCAAGTCTAAGATCCCAGAGAACTCAGACGGTACTTATTTTTCAAGTAACGAATTTTATAGTATACACACTCTTATAAATATGAGCATAGAGATTGATCATTCGGGTATTTTTTTTTTAATATGCAAAGCAATTCATGTCGTCATTAATTTATTTGTATTTTCAGAATATATAAATAACGATATTAATATTGACAACAACAACTTGAATATTGAATTCCAAGATTGGTTCGAGAAACTCATATGAAGCAAACAATAAACATTGAGACTTAATTAAATAGTAACAGAAGTTCATATTTTTACTAAGTTTCTAGATTTTTGTACTAATACACTTCCGCCTCACCCAGGCGGGAGCAGTCATTCGATGATTTTCCCCCGTTAAAAAAAAATGCTTAAACACATATATACCGTAAAATGCATTACTTTAACATAAGTCACGTCTGGGGTCCCTGGGATCTTACTCTATTCATATGTAGAGGATGCCAATAGTCTAGCAGAGGACTATCACAGGCTGTTGATACAAAAACAATTAAAATAGCATAATCTAAGTTCTTTTAATTACAATACTTTCAAGCCATGCAATCCATCAATGTCACGATAGTATAGGCCACATAAAGCTGTGTCTAGACAAATTGTCTAGCAGTAAAAAAGTTTTTACTGCGCTCACGTTAAAAACTACTTTATATAACTCGGTACTAAGAACTCTGTTAACTTTTACGATTTAACTTTGAACTTAAGTTGAATGGAACATAAGTGTAAGTTAGTAAAACGTCTCATTTTCAAGAATGATGAAAAATGGAATTTCTTTGTTGTTAAGTTAAAGTTGCAGTCTCTGAAGTATAATTTGCGGTTAAAATATTTTTTTTATGGTTCTCAAAATGTTATTCACATAATTTATAACTGAGTTATGTAATTCAAAAAATATTTTTCTGAACATAGGTGTGGTATTATGAAGCAATGATAAAAATAATTTAAAATAAACTCTTTTACATATTATGGATATGACTGCCTTGTTGGCCGAGTGGTCGCAAGTGTGACTGCCGGGCATGGGGTCTCGGTTTCGATTCCCGGGTCGGGCAAAGTATTACTGGGATTTTCATAAATTCTCAGTAATAGCACGGAGTCTGGAATTGTGCACGGTATATGGCAATAGGCTCACACCCTATTACATGGAACTCATAACGAATTAGTGAAAAGTAAGTGTTACATTGTACAGGGGCATTAAGTGCTGTAATGTGCACCTCTGACTACCCCTTCGGGGATAAAAGGCGTGATGTTATATTCTGTTATGTTATATTATGTATAGTATTAATATTATAAACAGGAAAAACATATTTGTTTGATTGCTCACATTGGACGACACAGAAATTACGGGACTGATTTAAAAAAAATTAACCACTTTCCGATATTCATGTAGAATCGGAATTATATCTGAATTCCACGCGAGTAAAACAGCTAGCCAAACGCTAGTCTGTTATAAATGTTCATACACATAAATATATCTGAGTATGTAAATATAGTATACCCTAAGGAAATCATTTTTCGTGGAGTAATGTTGTTTTTACTGATATCATAAATCCTTTTTAAGGTTTCATGCATAAATTGCCAAAGGGTTGGTCTACAATTTTGATATAATTCAATTATGTAAACTGATCTGTTCGTACAGAGATTGTATGAACGACTTTAATGTTCGTGGTCATAGTTTCAATCCTAAGATCTGTGAGAAAGAAAGAAAATTGTGTATTAAATCGTCTCTCAGATCAGTAGGATTTATATATAGCTACATTATATGACGCCTTTTATCCCGTAGGGATAGCCAGACGTGCACATTACGGCACTTAATGCCACTGTACAATGTAACACCCATTTTTCACTATCAATGTTATAAGTACCATGTAATAGGAGGTGAGCCTAATGCCATATATACTACTGAGATTAAAAAAACCCCAGTAGTCCATACTGGGCCATACTGCTACTCGAGTAGGAACAGTCACCGCGTCGGGTGTCATGAATAATTATGAGCCTCCAGTATGGCTTGAAACTGGTCGAGTTCCTTATATCAAACAGTTACATGAGTAAGCCGAAAAATATGATAATTAATTTAATGTCTCGAAAGTGTTGTAATGAAGCAGTGAATTAAAATCACAGGGACAAAGAACAGCAAAGGTTACCGGGAATTAGAACCAGTTGGTTGTTAGTCAGTAAGAGTCTAACACTCCCTGATGCCTCACCCATGGTGGAAGGAGTAATTTGATGATTTTCCCCCAAGTCAAGTTATAGTCAAAATCATTTATTTCAATTAGACCAGAAAGGCACTTTTGAACGTCAATAAAAAATTAAAAGTGAAGCTATTTGCTCATTCCAAGGTGTAGAAGAACTATGGAGAAGAACGAGCAAGAAACTTCATAGGTTACTCTTTTTCAATCAGGTTCAAAATACAATTCTCTAGTTACATAGTTTTGTTGATCCGATTGTACGAGAATAATGTAACACTCCCCTCAAAAAGTAGCCGAATAATTTTGGTACCTACTGATATTTTTCAAATGTATTAGGCAATTTGAAAATGTTGTAATGTATGCAATCTATAACTAAAATTACTATTTTTAAATGCACAAAATAGATTAAAAACAAGCCTTATTTTGAATTATCTTTTCAGTTAAATACGAACGTCACCAGTCAAGGACAATCATTTAGGCACAACGGTCCTACGCTGCAATAGGTTCCAGCAATAGTGAGCAGAAGGTATTATTTAAGGTGTGGGAGAGGCATGCTACGGCACGAATGGGCCGGCTCGACCGACGAAAACCGACGTGAAGAAACGCTTGCATTGTGTTTCGTCGTGTGAGTGAAGTTACCGGAGGCCCAATTACCCTCCCCTTCCCTAATCTCCCTAATTGCAGAATTTCCAACGATCCTCAAACTCCTAATCCCCAAAATGCCTGTAACGCACTTGTAACGCCTCTGGTGTTTCAGGTGTCCATAGGCGACGCCGATTGCTTACCATCAAGTGATCCGTCTACGCGTTTACCGGCTTATGACATAAAAAATATCTTGTTTATCAGGAAATATTATAACCTGTGGAAAACAAGTTTCATAACTTTGACTAAAAATATAGTCGATTGTTATAGGTTTTTTATTTCATTTATGTTTTCGTAACTTTCTCTTTCTTATATACTCAAGTTTAGCATTAGACTAGATTATTTATTCTATCAAATTATTTTTTACTTACACATTTGTTAAAAAATATATTTTTGATAATATTAATTATCTTTTCCATTAACGCAATAGCCTGAGAATCAATTAATTTATTTATCATCATACGACTTTATATATTACGCACTTATTACCTAATTATTGTTACTATTAGTAAGTTCTGTTCCAGAATCGTATCATGTTATCTGCTTCGACCCAAATATCAAGAGTCAGGCAGCTGCAACAAGCGTTCAGTGTCCTAGCTCTGCTCAACATAAACTGCAATACTTACCCTGAAGATGCCACAGTATCCAGTAAGTTCGATTTTATACTTTCTTTCAATAATGGCAATAACTATTTTCCAAAAAGACGTTAAATGGAGCTCCAAGAAGTTTTAAGTACACGTCCAAACACTCTTAGTTTGGACATCGATAATTTTACTTATTTTTCTTTTTTTTATGCTACGACGGTGGCAAAAAATCACACGGCCCACCTGATATTTACAAAAAAAAACGTGTTTTGTCGTGTGAGTGAGGTTACCGGAGGCCCCACAGTCCTCAAATTCCTAATCCCCAAAAGGGAATGCACTAATATCTCTGGTGTTTCGGGTGTCCTTGGACGGCGCTGTTTGCTCACCATCAGGTAATCCGTATAACCGTTTACCGGCTTATCCCATAAAAAATTGACTACCAAAGTAAATGTACTTGTAAATATATTTTATAATAATCTTCCTAAATAATATGGTGAACAGTAACATTATAACTTGAAGTGAGTAAATCTAAAAAGATAAACAACATTTAAACCATTTTACCGTATATTATTTTCCCTTAAGAATTATTATTGTTTCTTTTTAATGTGCATTACGACAAGAGCCAGGTTTATATTTTCATGAAAAAAAAACTAAATAAATAAACAAAAACTACATGCTAAATTAAGTGTCACACAATTAATTTGTCTAAATTTTCCAGGTGGTGACATGTTTGACTATGTGGTGGTTGGCGGTGGAACTGCTGGACTAGTGGTAACCACCAGGCTAGTGGAAGCTAATTACAGTGTCCTGGTGATTGAAGCTGGTGATATTCCTGGAGTAGAAAGTCTTGTAAGTAAAGCGAACTGCGATTCATTCATTCATTCAATTAATCATAATAAAAACAAGTCAGCTATTGTAAGAAATAAATTACCTTATATTCTTGTTGTGTGTCATGGCAAAATAAATGGTTTTTCTTTCTTTTCCAGTCAATTCATGAAAAAAAAACAATATTTTAATTCCATATATTTATTTTAAATCCTTTACAAATTACATTTTTAAATACTACTTCAGAATAAAAACAAAACATATTTAAAAATGTAAAAACGAGCCGACCAGAAAACAAAGTACGATGTTTTAATTATCAATAAAATTTCCTTTTTTACATTTACAGAATCCTGGTCTGGTACCATACATTAAAAACTCCCGCATAGACTGGAACTACACGTCAGAACTTAACTGTCGAACAGGTAGCTGTCTCAAAGCTGATGGTGGATCCTTTTATGGAAGAGCCATCGGAGGAACAGGAATTCTAAATTACATGATATATGGACGAGGAAATGAACGAGATTATCATAAATTTAACGAAGTTACAGGAGATTCATCCTGGGAATATGAAAATATGCTCAAGTATTTTAAAAAGAGTGAAAAATTAAAAAACAAAGAAATTCTCAACTCTCGATTTGGACAATTTCATGGCTCTAAAGGTAAAATTGGAGTAACACAAGAAGATCGTCTCTTTATAGATAAATACTTAAAAGGTTTTGAAGAAGCTGGAGAAAAGGTAGTTGTACGAGCTACGCTGTACATTGACTTTGTCGTCATACGCGCGAATAATTAAATCATCGTAATCAGCATTTCTGAACCTTGTAAACTATATAATTAATTTAATTCAGTAGCAATAAAACTATCTAAGAGATTGGTCGTCTACTCATTTAACATAAACAACATTCAACATTACAACATAAACTTATAATGAACACTGTAGGGATTTACAACCCCTACATATGGTCCTTCGAGCAACGGTGTGATTCACTATTTATTTACGTTCGCGAATCGGTTGCACTGGCCTCCCAGAAGCGGGTCTCACCAGTGATCAATTGAGAAGTCGCAAAATATCGTAAGTAAAGGTGGTTACACAATAGCAAGAACCGAGAGAGTGGAGCGATAGTCTGCATTGATAAAGTCGAAGTTTTCGTTTGTATTTAACGGAAGTATAACAGTGAATGATGGAGTCCTCAGCAGACATGTATCAAAACCAGAAGGAACTGTCTGACAACATACAGAGGGTTGGAATCAACATCAAGAAAGACGGTTGGGCGAGGAAGAACGCTGACTATTTCAAGCGGCGAATGCAGATGTTAGAAACTTTATGGGGTGAGTTTCAATTTAACCATGACCGTTTCACGACAGAAGAAAGCGGTAAACACCCATACTTTACATCTGCTTTGTACACCAAGACACGTCAGATTTATCAAGATGTGAAAGATCTAATCATTTCCCAACACCAACAGTCTTCAAAACAGTTACAGTCCTCAACTGGGAAATTAGTAACACCAACACCGAGCACCTCTCAGCAAGTTCAAGAGAGTGTTGCCGGAGAAAAAGAGAATCAATCGAGTGGGGAGGAGGGTGACACGAACAATCCATCTGAAACACATGATGACAGCGACAGAGATAGATCTCCTTCTCGCCAACAACAACATATCCTCACGAAGAGAGACATAGGATCCAACAGCAAGCTGGATGACCTGCTTCGTAAACAAACAGCGAACTTCAAGGCTTTTATGAGAGCTGTAGCTAACATTCAAGTGGAATTTATAACAGAGAAGTGGGAGTTTGAGGATGCTCTCCAAATACTACAAGCGCGTTGGTCAGCTGTTGATAAGCTACACTGGGAAATAGAGTGCGAGCTTAACGGCGACAAGATTGTAACCTATGACGAACGCTACACGAGGTATGAGATGCAATTCAACAGCGTGAAAAGAGCTCTAAACACCAAGATGTGGGCAAATACTCACCAACAGAAAACAACGCCTAAGTTAGAAATACCAGTATTTCACGGAAAATATAATCAATGGATGTCCTTCAAAGACCTCTTTACTGAAGCGATACACAATAATATATCGTTGTCGCCGGCACAAAATGCAGTTTTTGAAGAGCAAGGTGCATGGAGAAGCTGAAAGGCTAATACAGCATTTACAGATTAGCTCAGAAAACTACTCGATGTGTTGGGAAATTCTCAACCGCCGTTTCAATAACAAGAAACATATATTTGCCACACATTTCAATATGCTGCTCAATATGCCGATCATGCAACAACAGTCCCTAACAGCACTCAAGAGAATGCATATGTCACTGTTGAGTGCCTACACGCTATAAAAAACTTGGAGGTTGATATTACATCTTGGGATCCTATGCTAGTGCACATGTTGTCACTGAAGTTGGACTCAGTAACACTTTCAGACTACAATGACTCGTTGAAAAATTCCCGTGAGCTGCCTGTGTTGCAAGAGTTCCTAGACTACATAGAAGCAAAGTTTACCTCATTGGAATCATCTCAGCGTAAACAAGATGTTATCCAGAAAACTAATGGATCCAACTCACAGAGCCAAGGAAACTCATACCCAAAGAAACAGTACCACAACAATTACAAATACAACCAGTCAGATAGCAACAAGGTGGTTACGAAATCATTTCATACATTAACACTGAAATGTCCACTTTGCAATAACGAACATGGCATATATCGTTGTGCTAAGTTTTTAGAAATGAATAATGACGCAAAACTAAGCACAGTGAACAAATTGCAGTTATGCGTTAATTGTCTATTTAGCCATAATGGGCGCAAATGTACATCGACTTACCGATGCCGAAAGTGCAAAGGTCAACACAACACGCTATTACACGATGCATGCAATAAGAGCACTGAAGAAAGAGAGTCTATTTCTGCCAATGTCTCTCGAGATAACAATGACTATGAGATTCTATTAGCAACCGCGATAGTCAAGGTACAAGGTGCTGATGGAACCTTACATAATATGCGAGCCCTTATAGATCAAGGGTCACAGATATCATTGATTACCGAACATGCCGCGCAAATTATTGGTGCGAAACGTCAAAAATGCAAAGGCGTTATCTTTGGAGTTGGACAAAAGGAATCAAGCTGTAAAGGGCTAATAACAATCTTATGCCAATCGTCATATAATGAGTTTAAGTTTGAAACATCTGTACTCATTATGAAAAACCTAATCAAAAACCTTCCAAACAGATCCTTTACAAAACCATCATGGACTCACTTGCAAAACATTAATCTAGCAGATCCAAACTTCAACAAAAGTAGCTCCGTGGATCTTTTATTTGGAGCTGACATTTACTCTCAAATAATGCTGGGAGGAATGATCAAAGGTGATGACGTCACCCAACCTATAGCGCAGCAAACGCAACTAGGATGGCTTCTGTGCGGAAGCGCTAAAACATTTCAGTGCAATGTAGTATTGAATAATGTGGAAGATATGAAACAATTCTGGGATGCGGAGGACATTAGTGATCAATCTAATATCTCACAGGAAGATCAAACATGCATTGAATATTACACCAACACAACACAGCGCTCAAATGATGGGAGATATGAGGTCAGATTGCCAATGAAACCTGACATGGCAAACAAAATAGGTGTATCCAAACCGATGGCCATAGCTCAGTTCAAAAATCTGGAAAGAAAGCTACAAAAACAAGAGCAATTAGCTAAATCCTACAGAGAGTTTATGTCAGAATATATTGAACTGGGTCACATGAAACTATCAACGAGTATTACAGCACCGGAGTGCTATTTACCACATCATGGCGTCCACAAGGCCGAATCAACCACAACCAAGTACAGGGTGGTGTTTAATGCATCCGCAAAAACATCAACTGGATGTAGTTTAAACGATCTTATGTACCGGGGCCCAAACCTACAACAAAATCTGCAGACATTACTAATTCAGTGGAGACAGTACAAATATGCTTACACCGCTGACATAGAAAAAATGTATCGACAGATTTTAGTAGCTCAATGTGACCAACCATTACAAAGGATTGTATGGCGAGACTCACCGAATCAACCCCTACATACAGTCTCCTTACAGTCTTACCAGCTAACAACAGTCACATATGGTACCAAGGCAGCGCCCTTCTTAGCCATGATGACGTTAAGACAATTAGCAGCAGATGAAAGAAACCAGTTTCCAGAGGCTTCAAAGGTACTAGAAGAAGCATTTTATATGGATGACCTAGTTCATGGATCGCATTCAACAGAACAAGGAAAGAAAATAATTTCCGACTTGGAACAGTTGCTTAAAAGTGGAGGGTTCAATCTTAGGAAATGGACAACAAACAACGCGACGCTACTAGATCAAGTTTCATCTCAACAGGTCAATGAAGACTTTTTCAAATTCAGAACAGAACAAACGTCCAAAACTCTTGGTCTGTGTTGGAACCCAAAGGAAGACAAATTCACTTTCCAATGCTCTATTTCAAACGAGAACCAAAAACATACAAAACGCAGTCTACTGGCTGAGATATCGAAATTATTCGATCCACTAGGATGGCTCGCTCCTTTATCAACAAAACTGAAGTTATTGTTCCAAAAATTATGGGAAACAAAATTAGAATGGGACGACGAAGTATCAGATAACATAAACACTGAGTGGTACAAGATACAAGCGGATATAAAAGCGATAAATACTTGTGAAATACCTAGATGGCTCATGAGTAACGAAAACTCAACAATAGAATTATTCGGGTTCAGCGATTCTTCGCTGGCCGCCTTCGCTGCCGTAATTTACGCACGAGTCCATGCGTCAACAAAAATCACACTTGTCGCTGCTAAGTCTAAACTTGTACCACAGAAAAAACTAACAACATTGCCCAGACTAGAATTAAATGGAGCCTATCTATTAGCTAAACTAATGCTTAAGATAAAAGAAGCCTTAAATCAACATGAACTGCGAATCTACGGGTGGACTGACTCCATGGTCGTACTGGGTTGGCTACAAGGACCCATCAAGATGGAAAGTATATGTGGAAAACAGAGTCAGAAAAATACATGAAGTGATGCCAGGCTCCCAGTGGGGATACGTCAAAACAACAGAAAACCCTGCTGATGCCGCTAGCCGAGGCCAATTTGCTGGTCAATTGAAAGACAATCAACTGTGGTGGCAAGGTCCGGAATGGCTATCATCTTTTAGAACAAGTGACATAGGAAAAACAACTATACTACAGACCAAGAAATGAGAAAAAAAACTCCGATACAAGCAAATGCGACCCAAATAGACATAGCAACAACAAATATAACAGAACAATTATTACACAAACATAGCTCTTTTAATCACATCGTTCGCATAATTGCTTGGATACTCAGAGCCTTGAACCCAAAGCGACGTCAATTACCGAAGTATCTTACACTGCAGGAATTGAATAATGCAACAAAAGTAATTAAAACAAACACAACATAAAATATTTGACACAGATATTAGTCACTTACGCAAGAAATCAACTGTGCAAGCAAACAGCAAACTAAGAACTCTCAATCCTTACATTGATCACGAAGATTTGCTACGTGTCGGAGGACGATTAAGGAACACGATATTAAACGAAGAAATGAAACATCCGATGATCATCCCACACGAGAGCCGTCTGACACAGTTACTTATTGATCAAGCTCATCGTACAACATTCCACGGTGGGCCCCGTCTTACCCTATCGTATCTTCGACAAAGGTACTGGATTATTGGGGGTATTCGAGCAACAAAGAAACAAATTCGAAACTGTGTTACATGCCGTAAAATAAACCCGGTAAAACAACATCAACTGATGGGTGAGCTACCAAGTGCAAGAACGAACCCCGCTCCACCATTCTACCATACAGGAGTGGACTACACAGGCTTCGTTGACATCAAAATGAACAAGGGAAGAGGAGCCAAGGCAACCAAAGGATATATTGCCGTATTCATCTGCATGGTGACGAAAGCAGTACACCTGGAATTGGTCTCCGATCTAACCAGTTCAGCATTTTTGGCAGCTCTAAACAGAATGGCGGCAAGAAAGGGTGCTCCACGGCACTTATATAGTGATAACGGTACGAATTTCATCGGCGCACATAGACAACTTCGAGAACAATATGAGGAAATCGAAATTACTTACAAGAATGAAGGATTACTAAGGGATTTAGTTGAGATGAACATAGAATGGCACTTTAATGCACCTGCGTGGCCATCTGCAGGGGGATTGTGGGAAAGAGCAGTAAGAAGCTTGAAACACCATCTGAAAAGAGTTGTAGGAGAACAAAGGCTTACGTTTGAGGAGTACTACACCATCCTATCTAAACTGGAAGCCTGCTTAAACTCTAGACCTTTGTGCCCTCTAACTGAAAACATCGAAGATTTAGATTGTCTGACGCCAGCCCACTTTTTAACAGGAAGGTCAGGTTTGACCGTCATTGAAACAAAGGAAGATGCTCGCACAAGATGGGAATTAACTAGAAAATTTTCGCGGACATTTGGAAAAAATGGAAGGAAGAATATTTGAGTCAGCTGTTGGTCAGAACTAAGTGGCAGAGGCCTCAACGAAACATACAAATCGGAGACGTAGTTGTCATTCATGACGATAACATGCCTACAGGGAAATGGTTAATGGGTAAAGTAACCAACATTTACCCGGGAGAAGATGGATACGTTCGCGTGGTAGACCTCAAGACCAAAAATGGTTACATGAAGAGACCCATAACAAAAATATCTATCTTGCCATTAGAAAACAATGAACAACAAAAACAACAAATTACATCCAATCATTGTGAAAGGGCGACTCATCCATCAACAAACAGAGGCACAGAACGGTCACAACGCGTCAAAAATAAAACAACAAGCAACGTAACCTTATTTAGCCTAGTTATGACTTTGCTATATTTTCTAAATCCAGTCACAGCAAACAATAATTTCAACACGGCAGAGATCCAACAAGGCCTCTATTTCGACAAAGTGACAAATTTGAAAGTAATTCGCGACGAATGGAAAATAGTAGTATATTATGACCTTTCACCATATTGGACCAGCTTAACAGTAATAGAAAAATTCAACGAACATTTGGAAGATGTATGTGAAAGGATCAAGCCAAAAACACAATGTAAAATAATTTCACTACAAATGCGACACGCGCTCGCTGAACTTGAACACTACAACAACATGTTGCTGAGTCCGCAAGGCCGAGGAAACATAAGAAGCAAACGCGGGCTTATCAACGGTGTCGGTTCCATCGCACGTTCCTTGTTCGGTGTATTGGATGACCAATTTGCAGAACAATACACACGGGACATTAACCTTATCAGAGAAAATGAGAAACATCTGGCACTGTTAGCCAAAAATCAGACGTCTGTCATAGAAGCTGAATACAATGTACTAAGACGATCTGAAGAAAGAATAGAAATGCAACACAAGCTATTCAACCAACACTTACTTAATTTGGATAAAATAACCAATGAATTACAACAAGAAATAAGGTCCCAAGAATTATCCATTGAGTTTACTATGTCCGCCATCTCCGCAAACATCTTAATCGAACATCTCAAGGACGTCCAGGAGACACTGTTGGACACTGTGAAGAATATTTACAACGGCGACATCAACACGCATCTCATTTCACCAGACCAATTACGGTACGAATTGAACATTATTTCTGGTCAACTATCAAAGGATCTGGCCCTGCCTATCACCAATATGCAAACAGATTTCTTTCGCTTATATCACCTTCTTCAAATGAAAGCGAAAATAACAGCAAAATACCTGTTGGTTGAGATGAAGGTGCCCTTAACAACCAGAGATAACTACGAGGTCTATCGAGTTATACCTGTACCTAAAAGGAGTGGTGGAGATATGGTCACCCTACTGCCAATCGCTGACTTAATGGCGATAAACCTACAAAAAGACTCCTATCTACCTATTACTGCTCCTGACCTATACGAGTGCATACATTATGATACTACCACTCGATTATGCCAACTACAAACACCCATTTATCGCATGAAATCAGATGAGAGGAGTCTATGCAAAAGGAACAACGAAACTGCTAATTGTCAAACAAAACAGGAACGCTGTCAAGACATATGGACGGAACTTAGAAATATGAATCATTATTTATATTTCTGTTGCGAACAATGCAAAATCCGGATCATATGTGGGCATCAAATATCAACACAAACATTGCAAAAGGCTGGAGTAATGACACTTGGCGACGATTGCGTCATCAACAGCGATACATTTACTGCCTACTCAAGAAAACTACAGATGAGTGAAATTCGATCTCGAGTAGACATAGTTCCGGTAGAAATTCCGCCGATAAACAATTTAATTAATCTGTCTGTTCCAATTATACAAGAGGTACACAATGGAAGTCTGACCAAGGAAGCGAATATGTTATTGCTGGATGATCTCGGTAAACAAATAAAACAGATAAAGGAGGCCGGATCCGAAGACATTATATCTGACCAAATAACATATCACGATATACATCAATATATCGTACTATACCTATTTATGGCGACTGTGGCAATAGCAGCTGCAATATATGGGTATTACAAGCTTAAGAAACAACCTATACCTCAAGCGATTCCTGGGCCGTTACGCGTTCCTGACCCTGCACCACGGAGGAGATCAACAGTCAGCATGGAAGATAATGCTATGCTCGAATCCAGGGAGCCACCAATATCATTGAGCACAAATAACTTGGACAAAGCAACGTCCCCTACTTCACGTTGCCACACCTATAAAATGGCATGACATATTTAAGGATTAATTATAATGCTTATGTACTTTATATTTTAACTTTATTGTATTCAGTTTATGTTACATTAATTTTACTATTTGTACACTTAACCTAATTTTATACTTAACATTCTAGTTGATTATAATTATACCTATCTTTTTGAGAGGGCAAGATGTACGAGCTACGCTGTACATTGACTTTGTCGTCATACGCGCGAATAATTAAATCATCGTAATCAGCATTTCTGAACCTTGTAAACTATATAATTAATTTAATTCAGTAGCAATAAAACTATCTAAGAGATTGGTCGTCTACTCATTTAACATAAACAACATTCAACATTACAACATAAACTTATAATGAACACTGTAGGGATTTACAACCCCTACAGTAGTAATAGACAATGTTGGTCTTGGTAAAGGATTAGGATATTCAAGGTGTCTCTACACAATCCTTAATGGAAAACGAAGTGATGCTGGTAGTGAATATTTGAATCCTATAAAAGACCACCCAAAATTATATGTAACTAGAAACAGTTTAGCAACAAGAATCATTTTCGACAATGACAAAAATGCTATTGGCGTTGAATTTGTGAAACATGAAAAAAGAATTACTGTGGGAGCAAAGAGGGAAATTTTAGTTACTGCTGGACCATTGAAGTCACCTCAGCTTCTTATGTTATCAGGTATTGGCCCAAAAGAAGAATTGCAGAGAATGAAAATAAATGTGCTATCAAACCTTCCAGTAGGGAAGGGTCTACAGTGTGTAGTAGGAGCATTTTTAGACTTCAAAACAAATATTAAAGCAAAAACTCATCCGTTTGATCCCCATAGACTTCCAACACCTATTATATTAGGCTACTCAGCTGTGAATGAAAGCAGTGTATACCCAGACTATGAAACGCAGAACTTCATCATCGACGACCCTGCATATTTTCTTACATTATGCTCATTTACATTAAAACTCAAAAACTGTATTTGTGACAGACTCCTTAAATCATCAAACAACACTCAGATGATGGTGACAATCCTACTGAACATCAATTCAAAATCACGTGGAAGTGTCTCTTTAAGGAGTACTGATCCCAAAGACGAACCAATTATAGAATATGGCTTTTATGATAATGAAGATGACTTAAATGAAATGATAGCAAACCTTCAACATTACACCAGGATTGAAAACACTCCTTATTTCCAAGGTTTTGGGTTGGAATTTATGGAACCAACACCGGACTGCAGGAAACATGAGTTCGGATCGAGGATGTACTGGCGATGCTATGCTTTGTGCATGATTGCTCTGACAGGTCGCACTGCAAGTACCTGTGCTATGGGCTCGGTAGTGGACACAAAACTACGTGTGAACGGAGTGAATAAACTTCGTGTGATTGGGTCTTCTGTTATGCCTAATACTTTGGGAGGATCTATTTTTGCCCCAGAGGTAGCCCTTGCAGAAAAGGCTGCGGAAATGATTGTTAACGATCGCTTAAATACGTAAGGATGTAATGAACCATTTATTAAAATGGATTGCTTAAAACTAGATATGATATTTTTAGTATGCATATCGTACGTTTCACTATTAATAATATATTTGTTGAAGTACAAAAATGTGCCTAGGCAACTAGTTGGTGTGTTGTGCCTCAAGTAATTGTATCAAGTAAAATATTCATTGCCCCAATATTATAAACAATTATAGGTTTTTTCACCTTTTCAGTAGTAAGTACGTAAGTACTCAACATTCTAAGTAACAAATTATTTAGTCAATATTTTATAGGTATATTGGAAACTAGTTTCTGCCAGCGGCTTCGCCCGCGATCCCAGGGGTAAAATGCCTATGTATCACTTCAGACCATAATCTACCTCTGTTCCGAATTTCATTCCGGTCCCTTCAGTGGTTTTAATATGACTGAGTAACAAACATACACATAAACTCACATATTTTCATTTTTAATATCGAGTCAAGCTAATTTCAATCATTGGCCTTTCAGTTACAGCGTAAAGTCTATGAATCAGTATTGTAAACGTTAGAGTAGACAAATACAATCAGAAATCACCGAATTGCTAAGCAATCGGGAGTTTCACGTATTATTGTGAGTCAACCATAAAAGATAGACATATGCTGTCAAGGAATATTTTTTATATAATTTTAAGGAGAATATTTCCGTCATACATGATTTCTATGCAGCTTTAACCTATAAGCCTGCACACGCGACGGAAGCTTAAAAAATTGAGTAACTTCTCCCGTTTTCCCAATATTTCCCTTCACTGCTCTGCTCCTATTGATTGTAGCGTAATGAAAAGTATACTATAACCTGCCCAAGAGTATGAAGAATAATTGTGCCAAATTTCGTTAAAATCCATCGAGTAGTTTTTGTTTCCATAACGAACATACAGACAGACAGACAGACAGACAAAAATTTTACTAATTGCATTTTTGGCATCAGTAGCGATCCCTAACCACCCCTTGATAGTTATTTTTTAAATATATTTTATGTACAGAATTGACCTCTCTACAGATTTATTATAAGTATCTCTATATATATAAAATTCAAAGGTGATTGACTGACTGACTGACTGACATAGTGATCTATCAACGCACAGCCCAAACCGCTGGACAGATTGGGCTAAAATTTGGAATACAGATAGATGTTATGACGTAGGCATCCGCTAAGAAAGGATTTTGATAATTTCCACCCCCAAGGGGGTAAAAAAGGGGATGAAAGTTTGTATGTAACTTTGTCAGTTTTTAACTGATCGGGTTGAAATTTGGCATGCAGATAGATGTTATGACGTAAGCATCCACTATGAAAGGATTTTGATAATTTCCACCCCCAAGGGGGTAAAATAGGGGATGAAAGTTTGTATGAGACTTTGTCAGTTTTAAACCGATCGGGTTGAAATTTGGCATGCAGATAGATGTTATGACGTAAGCATCAGCTGTGAAAGGATTTTGATAATTTCCACCCCCAAGGGGGTAAAATAGGGGATGAAAGTTTGTATGAGACTTTGTCAGTTTTAAACCGATCGGGTTGAAATTTGGCATGCAGATAGATGTTATGACTTAAGCATCCGCTTTGAAAGGATTTTGATAATTTCCACCCCCAAGGAGGTAAAATAGGGGATGAACGTTTGTATGAAGCTTTGTCAGTTTTAAACCGATCGGGTTGAAATTTGGCATGCAGATAGATGTTATGACGTAAGCATCAGCTGTGAAAGGATTTTGATAATTTCCACCCCCAAGGGGGTAAAATAGGGGATGAAAGTTTGTATGGGACTTTGTCAGTTTTAAACCGATCGGGTTGAAATTTGGCATGCAGATAGATGTTATGAGTTAAGCATCCGCTGTGAAAGGATTTTGATAATTTCCACCCCCAAGGGGGTAAAATAGGGGATGAAAGTTTGTTTGGGACTTTGTCAGTTTTAAACCGATCGGGTTGAAATTTGGCATGCAGATAGATGTTATGACTTAAGCATCCGCTGTGAAAGGATTTTGATAATTTCCACCCCCAAGGGGGTAAAATAGGGGATGAAAGTTTGTTTGGGACTTTGTCAGTTTTAAACCGATCGGGTTGAAATTTGGCATGCAGATAGATGTTATGACTTAAGCATCCGCTGTGAAATGATTTTGATAATTTCCACCCCAAGGGGGTAAAATAGGGGATGAAAGTTTGTATGAGACATTGTCAGTTTTAAACCGATCGGGTTGAAATTTGGCATGCAGATAGATGTTATGACGTAGGCATCCGCTGTGAAAGGATTTTGATAATTTCCACCCCCAAGGGGGTAAAATAGGGGATGAACGTTTGTATGAAGCTTTGTCAGTTTTACACCGATCGGGTTGAAATTCGGCGTGCAGATGGATATTATGACGTAAACGTCCCTTTAGAAAGGTTTTTGAACATTCTCACCCCAAAGTGGGTAAAATAGGGGGTGAAAGTTTGTATGATATTTTGCCAGTTTTAAATTGATCGGGCTGAGACTTTGCATGCATAAAGTTGCTATGACATAGGTATCTCCTTAGAAAGGATTTTGATAAATTCCACCCCTAAGGGGATAAAATAGGGAATGAGAGTTTGTATAAATCTTCTTAGCCATTGAATTTAGAATCATTGATTCTTTTTGAATTAAATTCGGTAAAACGATGATTTGGGACCTGGGTAATGTATGATAGTTTTTTCACAGATGTCTCACGAGAACGGGAACTATGCGTCAATGCCCCAGGACTCTCTAACTCTTAACCACTGAACTTATTCTAGAGAGATTCGGTACAACAATAGTCGATAGAATAGTTTTTATTACTCAAACCTTACGTGATCGGACACTGTACTGGTAAGATCCCTGCGGGATTATTTATTTATTAAAACTACGATAAATCGTTTTCAAAATAGGTAAATCTCACTTGGGCACTGAATTGATTCTGGTTAATTCTGTCAGAAGTCATTAATCTACGCGGACGAAGTCGCGGGCAACAGCTAGTAGATGATAAAATTATAAAGCTAAGTTCATAAACGTGATTATTTAGGATTATACATTTTGTAAGTAATATAATTATGTATAATTTTGTCCATCTCTTAAGTCTAATAGCTGACTTTTATCATGAGTTAGAATAAAATGAAACAGTAGTATTTGAAATAAAAATGAATGGTGGTCCCAGTACCGGTTTTCGAGAAAGTGGAATTTCATATTGTTCTTTCATAAATCCAAGTCACAAGAAGTTCACTGCTGATGATAGACCTTGCCCTTGTCCAATGATTTCTAATTTAGCTGATTGGAAGTGACCTACGTCTAAAGATTAGTCTGCACTTTATCTGTACACTCCATAAGTCCTAACCAGACGTCATCCTTTTGCAATTTCAACCATGGAAAATACAAATGCGTCAACTTCAGTAATAAAATGCGATGTGAATATAACCTTAATAAAAATGTAGAAACTGAAACCGGTTCTTTTCATTAATTTAATTTTACTTTTATTTTTTTAACATCAATTATTGTACGTATACTATTAATTTATACTAATCATTAGCATAATTACATGATTATTCTTAATTTATTTTAAAATGTGACTGCATTTCAATTTGTTAGTACAATTTATCCATGATAGTCGAGGTGTTGCAACTAGGACACGTAAGTACAAATTTTCTTTATTATTCTGCTTTTGATATTAATATTGTTTTCTTTATAACACCCATACTGGGATTTTCTACTGTGTCGTGGATGCGTTTACAAACATACAAGTTCACATACACATGACAACCAGACCCGGAACAACAATCTGTGGATCACACAAAGAATTGTTCCGTGCGGGAATTTAACCCGCAACACGTTGCGCGGCAGCCAGTTGCCCGACCACTGTGCCAACCGTGCCGTCAAAATCTTCTAAGTGACGACCAGAAAAATCTTGACCATATTTATGCAAAACTCAGTAACGGAATAAGATTAATTCCTTTCCAAAAATAGTTTCGCGAGTTCGGGTACTTCTTGAGTCAGTTATTTTCAAAAGCTTGCGTAAGAGTTTCCAAATATCGGTTGTTTACTTTTCTTAAGATTAAAAAAAAATCTACTTTTTCCATAGCATCATCATGTCTTCGGGCGTGACGAGCATGCAAATAGACCAAATAATCAACATTCAAGGAGCCTTCAGAACCCTGGCTCTCCTCAACATGGTTGGTTACTTATTTCGTGAAGACGCTCCAGTTTCTGGTGAATACTTTTCACTTCTTTGATCATCAATTTCAGATGGAAATTAATTTCATAGACAAATGAAGTACATAATTATGTGTATGTATTTGTTTTCGGATTTGTTCCCTAAGATGATGACATATATGACTACATCGTGGTGGGTGGTGGCACGGCTGGATGTGTGGTAGCTGGGAGGCTGGTCGAAGCAAACTTCAAGACATTGGTTATAGAAGCGGGAAATAATCCAGGAGAAGAAAATTATGTAAGTGACTACATAACATATTGTGTTGAGATAAGAATAAAAACTTGTAGGTATTAACCAGATTTTTTTTTTAGGCACCTGGTTTACTAACCTATATAAAGAACTCGCGCATGGATTGGAACTTTACTACACCAAGTGATGGTTTTACAGATCAATGTCACAAAGGCAGTGGAATATTTTTCGGTAAAGTATTGGGAGGTACAGGAAATACCGACTACATGCTGTACGGACGCGGCAACCCTCAGGACTACAGATCATTTAATGAAGACTCATGGAATTGGAAAAATATGTTAAAATATTTCAAAAAAAGCGAAAGGCTGGAAGACAATGATATTCTTAATTCACGATACAGAAGATATCACGGTACCAAAGGTAGAATTGGAGTAATTAAAGAAAACCGTCCTGAAACCCAAGAGTATCTGCAAGCCTATAAAGAAGCTGGAAAAAACGTGGTTGAAGATGTTATTGGAGCTGGAATAATAGGATATTCTGGTGCTCTATATCACATAGCAAAAGGATCCCGTACGGAAACTGCAACTGCTTACTTATCACCTCTTAAAGATAATCCTAATTTGTACTTAACTCGAAATAGCACAGCAGTAAAAATAATCTTTGATGAGAATAAAAGAGCTGTTGGGGTACAATTTGTAAAAGATGGTAAATCGATTACCGTCAGAGCAATGAAGGAAGTTATTGTTACAACTGGAGCTGTCAAAACTCCTCAACTTCTTATGTTGTCAGGCATTGGTCCTAAACAGAGGTTAGAGAAGTTGAATATCAATGTGATATCAAATATTCCTGTAGGAAAGAAATTACAAGATTGCGTCGGAGTGCTACTGGGTTTTGAAACAAACGTAACAGCAAAAAATGAGCCAATCGATGATAATAATTATCCAGCGCAAATAATAACGGGCTACTCAGCTATAAGAAATTGTAGCTGTGATCCAGATTACCAAACTATAAACTACATAATAGATGATACTACGTATCTTCCACATCTATGTGGGTTTAGTTTGGGATTTCAGAATTCAATTTGTGATAGAATTTACTCAAAAGACACGCAAATTTTTCTATCTATCATTTTGCATTTGAATGTTAGATCTTATGGAGAAGTCACCTTAAGGAATACCGATCCATTCGCAATGCCAAATATATTTCCTAATTCTTATACGAATGATAATGATTTGAATGATATAGTGGACTACATCATAGACTACTACAAACTAATAGAAACTCCAAAATTCCAAAGCATGGGTTTAAAGTTTGTGGAAGCTACTGGAAAATGTGGTCGGTTTCAGTTTGGGTCTCGTCAGTTTTGGAGATGTTACGCTTTGTGCATGATTGTGCCCCCAGGAAGGTATGTTGGAACATGTTCCATGGGGTCTGTGGTAGACAGCCGATTGAATGTTATCGGCGTCAGTGGATTACGTGTAGTTGACGCTAGTGTTATACCCGGCACCATTGGAAGTGCTCTCTTTGGCCCAACAGTGGCACTGGCTGAAAAAGGTGTAGAAATGATTATAGAGGACAGTTCTTAAAATTCCAATCAATATCGCATATTTAATAAAGTAAGTTTGAAATTGATTTTTAAATAAATTAAACTTTTAATTTGTGTTGTTGCTGTTTTAATCCTTAACATACATAAAAACCACCTTAAACATAATAATATGTCGCGGAGAACCTAACGGGTTACCGGGGCTCCGGCTCGAAGTGCAGGAGAAGGAACGGGATGGTTTTTAGTCAGTGAGAGTCTGACACTGCCTCCCACCTCAATCAGGCGGGAGAAGTCATTCGATGATTATCCCCTCTTAAAAAAAACATATTAATACATATTATACTAACGAAACATACTACCTTTATCAAGGTTTCAACTCCGAAAATTGACACACATTTAAATAGTAAATATTTAAATACGTATCTATTAGTTTGTGTTAATTAATTTTAATTATAATTTTATGTATCCTACATTAAATTATAATTAAAATTAATTAACGTTAACCAATATAAAAACCAATTATTGTAAATTAATAATTAAAAAAATACACAGTTTTTAACTAACCTTTTTTAGTTACTAAACGTTAAGTAGTGCTACAATGTTTTTTAGTGTTGTTAATAGTAGTTGCACAGACTAATAGAATTTCTAAACTGGTTTTATTCTCATTATCATAGCCAGACGTTAGCGTAAGGTATTGTTAATTGGTGATTAAAAAGATATAACCGTGTCGTAAATTCAGTGGAAATTTACTATGTAGTTTCAGCATATAAAAATCGGCAAGTAAGTAAATACATAAACACATCAGCGTAAACAACTTAGCTTGGAAAATACAGATCTTTCACTAATACTTCTTCATGAAGTTTCATTAATTATAAGTTATTGCTTTGATAAAAATCCTGTATTTTATAGGTTTGACTGTGTGACAATGAACACCACCGCTCAATTGGCGCAAATAGCAAACGTCCAGAGCGCCTTCAGCGTCCTGGCGATGCTCAACATGTATGGCTACATGTATCCTGAAGATGCGAAGGTTTCTGGTAATTAAAATATTTTATTTTCGTACCAAACTTTCTAACTCTCCAACCCCTAGCGCTTAAAAGGCCGGCAAAGTACTGCTTCAGTGTTGCGCTTGCCGGCTTAGTCAAAAAATACTTAAGAAACGTTTTTTAGTGACAGAACAGTTATACCTCTATAATATATTATAAGTTAAATGATCTAATACAAAATAAATTTGGAACCTAACTAACATAACATAAATAAATAAAAAATAAATAAAATAAAACATTACTTTTTTACACTCAAATATTTAGCAAAGGTGCTACATTTACTGAAAAAAACCAGTTTACTAAAACTAAACTCGATATTTGTATATAATAGAGAGTAAACTTTATTGCTAAAATCATTTACTTGTGAGACGTATTTGTGTACGATACGATTTTAGATAATATTAGCTAAACATGGAAGAGTTAATTAGAAAAATTAAATATCTGTCTTAATCGACGCACCTCAGCAGACAAAGTTTTTGACAAGTCACTGCTTACTTAAGTCACTACGAAGTAATGGTAATGTGATACTATTTACTTTTCAGATGGAGACACTTATGACTGCATAGTAATAGGAGGTGGCACTGCAGGATGTGTGGTAGCTGCCAGATTGGCTGAAGCAAATTTTAAGACATTGATAATAGAAGCAGGTCATAATCCAAGCATAGACAATAGCGTAAGAACTTTTATTTTTTCATAATATACGATGATACTTGATGAAATAAAAATAACGATCCATTTTCCTCTTCAGTTGCCAGGCTTAGTGACTTACCTTATTAACTCGCATTCTACATGGAACTTCACTACACTGGACGATGGGTTTACGGAAAAGTGCCATGAACAGGCAGGAGTTTACGATCGGGGTTATGTTCTAGGAGGATCTGGCGCTGTTGACTACATGATATATTCACGTGGAAACCCTAGAGACTACGAAAAATTCTCTGTAGCGAGCGACGACCCTTCTTGGAATTGGAGTAATATGCAAAAGTACTTCAAAAAAAGTGAAAAACTATACGATACACGTGTTCTTGAGTCACGTTATGGACAATATCATGGCACTGAAGGTAATATTGGAGTGACAAAAGAAAATCGATCAGTATGCGACGAATATTTAGAAGCTTATAAAAATGCTGGTGAACCAGTTGTTCTTGACGGCATTGGAGCTGGTATTTTGGGATATTCTACAGCCCTGTACCACATTGCGAAAGGGGTTCGTTCTGAGACCGCCACCGGTTATCTAACTCCTATTAAAGACAATCCTAATTTACACATAACGAGGGGCAGTATGGCAACAAAAATAATTTTTGACGATAACAAAATTGCTGTAGGTGTACAATTTGTTAAGAATGGCCAAACTTTAACCGTGAAAGCAAGAAAAGAAGTAGTTCTCACAGCAGGTCCTTTTAAATCACCACAGTTGCTTATGCTATCAGAAATTGGTCCTAAAGACGATTTGGAGGAGATGAACATAGACGTCATATCAAATCTTCCGGTAGGGAGAAATCTCCAAAATAGTATAGGACCAATGCTGTGTTTCAAAACAAACAGGGAAGCAAACCCTGAGCCTTTCAATGCACATCAGCTCACTGCACCACTGATTATAGGCAACACGGCTCTTAACAAATCTAGCAACTATCCAGATTATGTAACTCTAAACTTCATTATCGATGACTATTCGTACTTTTTATCGTTTTGTGCATTTACAATTGGTTTAGAAAGCTCAGTTTGTGACCGAATATTCTCTTTAGCTGACAACAAGCAAATGTTATTAACAGTGTTGCTAAATGTGATTCCTAAATCTCAGGGAGTGGTGAAGTTAAGGAGTACAGATCCCTTTGACCAGCCGCAAATATACAAGGGGTATTACTCGAACGACGAAGATTTAGATGTTGTTGTTGAATACATAAAGGACTACGCTAGAATAGAGGGCTTTTCGAAGTTTCAAAGTATGGGTTTAGAGTTTTTGAAGGCTACAGATAAATGTGACCAGTTCGAGTTTGGGAGCACGGAGTACTGGAGATGTTACGCATTATGTATGGTAGCATCTACTGTATTCCATTGTGGTACTTGTGCTATGGGTACTGTGGTGGACAATCAATTGAACGTGATGGGAGTGCACAGACTTCGAGTAGTGGATGCTAGTGTAATACCTAATCCTGTAAGTGGTAGCATTTTTGCCCCCCTAGTTGCAGTTGCAGAAAGAGCATCAGATCTTATAATTAAAAGCATCCAATAGAAATGTTTAAATGGGCAGTGTTTTCAAAAGAAATTGGTTGGTAAAATAAAGTTTTGAAGGAGTTTCATATTGTTTCATTTCTACTGGTTGTGTTTAAAGTAATTAGCTTCGATAAAAGTTAGTCTGAAATTATATCTCTGATAGATACAAAATAATTGCAGACCAAAATATAATATATATGTCGAAGCGTCAACGCATATCAATTAATTTAGATGTGGCAACTATTGTTTGAGAACGTCAAGTAATTACTTGAGGATGGTTAGCGCGGAGTAATGGCAACACTGATGGAAATATCGATCCGGAAGTTTAATCAGACTTTGACATTTGACAGCGAATGACGTTGACAGACGTCACTGAGCGCGGGAAACACTTTTGTAAAGGATCGCGGCGGTGGCGGCAGCTAGAAGCGTTACTCCCTGCTAAACTTCCTGCGTTCTTACTATTATCAGTAATTTGGTATTTTGGTGTGATTCGACAATGTCGCGACCCACGGGTAGCGTATCTCCGACATCAGAAGTGGGATTGGACCACGACGACGACTCACGCGTTCGTAATGAAGCTAGTGACGAAAAATGGATGCGTCTGTTAGAACAACAGAACCGCAATTTTCTGACGCTGATTGAAGCTATGAAACCACCTACTTTGCCGTCACACGGCTTTCGTTTACCCGATTTCGATCCTGAAAAACAAGATGTGGATGCACGTGCTTGGGTGACGACTGCAGAGATGTGTTTGACGAACCAAGTCCAGCATGGCGCCCCGCTTATGGTTGCTCTAAGTCGCGCCTTGAAGGGAGGAGCTTCTACCTGGCTATCTACCGTGTCGTATCCTGGTATGACGTGGACCGATTTTAAGCGACTTTTTATTGCAAGGTACGATAATTCCGCTACTATTGCTTCGTTCATGATTGATTTGCAAAGCAGCAGGCCTAAAGAAAACGAGTGTCTTGCTTCCTACGCTGCTGGTTTAATGTCGTCGATCATGGCAAGATGGAATGGTCTTAGCACTGAACGTTTGGCTATTGCTACTATATTGGCTCACATTTCTCAATTTGATCGCCGTGTGCAACGCTTATCTTTCACGACCGATATTCAGACACGTGGCCAGCTACAACAAGAGCTACAAGCTGTTTCTTTTATGAAAAGAAAGGTACCTAGTGATGACCGGGATGCCCCTGAGAAGCGATACAGGGTGAATAACTCTGAGAAGCCTCTGAAGTGTTTCATCTGTGGTAAGCCAGGTCACAAATCCGTGCAATGCTACCATAAGGGTGTGAAACAGGATAATCAAGCTACTCCGAAGCACCACAACCACACCAGTGGCAATGGGAGAGGTTCATCAGCAACTGCGAAGCCTCGTGCATCTGGGATCACCTGCTTCCACTGCCATGCGCAAGGCCACTACGCATCAAGCTGTCCACGGCGCACCGAGAGGAGCAGTGCCGACTCCGGGTCTTCCAAGCCTGTCAATGAGAAGAGGGTTGACCTGTGCCTCTTGAACGCACCGACTGGAACTCTATGTCACTCCGGTGAGAAATTTCCATTTTATTATGACTCTGGTGCTGAGTGTTCATTAATAAAAGAATCAATAGCCTGTAAATTTAAAGGAAAGCGTATTAATGAGACTGTGACTATGACTGGGATAGGGCAGACTTCCGTTAACTCAACAATACAGATTTTAACTTTGGTAGAGATTGATGATATTAATATTGAGGTTTGTTTTCATATATTGTCTGATCATCTTCTACGTTATGGTATTATGATTGGACGTGAGATTCTAGAACATGGTTTGACTGTACAGTTGACTAGTGACCGAGTTAAGATCTTTAGGTCTCTTTTTATTGCTTCTTGTGAGGTAGAGCGAACCCCTGAAATTGACTGGAACTCTATTGATACTGACATACCAGCGGATCGTAGAAAAGAGTTAGTTAGTACCTTGCAGGCCTTTGAGAAATCTTTTACTACAGGTATACCTACTGCACCAGCCGATACGCAGCCAATGCAGATTCGTCTGAAGGATACAAGTAAAACTGTAAATCGACGTCCTTATCGATTGAGTGTGGAAGAGCGTAAGGTTGTACGTGGTAAAATTGACGAGTTGCTTCAGGCTGGTATTATAAGGCCTAGTTCATCCCCTTACGCGAGTCCTATACTCTTGGTGGAGAAAAAGGATAAGTCTCTTCGACTATGCGTCGATTATCGTGAATTAAATGACAACACAATCTCTGATCGTTTCCCTTTGCCTCTTATATCGGATCAAATTGATAGATTGCATGGAGGACACTACTTTTCCACCATCGATTTGGCATCAGGTTTTCACCAGATCCCCATTGCAACAGAATCTATTGAGAGCACCGCCTTCGTTACCCCCGATGGTCATTTCGAATACCTGACGATGCCATTTGGCTTGAAGAATGCACCCGCGGTTTTTCAGCGTGCGATGATAAATGCTCTTGGAGATCTTGTGAACACCTATGTCGTTGTGTATATGGATGACGTCTTGATTGTTGCATGTGACGTTGACGAAGCCTTGGAACGTCTTAATATTGTCCTTAAGGTGCTGTCTGAAAAGGGTTTTACCATCAACTTTAAAAAGTGTACTTTTCTGAAACAAAAGGTAGAGTACTTAGGGTTTGAGGTTAACCGCGGAGAGATTCGTCCTAATCCACGTAAGATTGAAGCATTAACGGCACTACCACCGCCTGAGACTGTGACACAGCTACGGCAATTTATCGGTTTGGCGTCATACTTTCGCCAATTCGTGGCACGGTTCTCACAGGTGATGGCGCCGTTATATGCCCTGACTTCTGGGAATGGTAAGTTGACCTGGAAGCCGGAACACGAGGAAGTTAGGCAGAAAATTGTAACCGCTCTCACAAATGAGCCTGTGCTCATGATCCATGACCCTGATGCTGAAACTGAAGTTCACACGGATGCCAGTGCCGTAGGCTACGGTGCGGTGTTACTGCAAAGAAAAGAAGGTAAGCTACACCCAGTCGCCTACTACAGCAAGCGTACGTCTGACGCCGAATCGAAGTACCACTCGTATGAACTCGAGACCCTCGCGGTGGTCAATGCCGTAAAACATTTTAGGCGTTATCTCCATGGTCGCAAGTTCAGAGTAGTCACCGATTGTAATTCCCTGCAGTCCACACGCAAGAAGTTGGACCTGACGCCACGTGTTCATCGGTGGTGGGCCTTTCTACAAGGGTTCGATTTCGACATTGTCCATCGTGAAGGTAAAAACATGTGCCACGCCGACTTCTTCTCCAGGAACCCATTACCGCCAGCTGAAACTAAAAACAAGGTTAGTGAGAAGGTAGTACTTAAGGAGGTAAACCTCGCAGAGCTATCGCAAAATTGGCTGATGATGGAACAGCAACGTGACCCTGAGATTTTAAAGCTCTTGGCTGACATCGATACCAATGAGCTCCCTGTTGATGTTGCCAAAACTTACGAGCGACGATCCGGTGTCCTGCATCGAAAAGTGCAACGAAATGGTAAAAATCGTTGGTTACCTATTGTTCCCCGTTCCTTCCGCTGGTCCGTTGTTAATAACGTTCACGAGGGATTGCTGCATTTGGGTTGGGAGAAAACGCTGGAAAAACTCTACGACCTCTACTGGTTCGAGAACATGTCGAAGTTTGTGAGAAAATTCGTAGAGAACTGTGTGACCTGTAAGATTTCAAAGTCACACACAGGTAAGGTCCAGGCGGAGATGCACCCAATTCCAAAGGTAGCTATACCATGGCACACGTTGCACATCGACGCTACCGGGAAACTGAGTGGCAAAAACAACAAAAAGGAGTACGTTTTCGTTCTAATAGACGCCTTCACCAAATTTGTTATGCTGCATCACACCCTGCACATTGATACAGCAAGCAGCATCAGAGCGCTGAAGGCTAATGTCGCTATCTTCGGTGCTCCTTCGCGCTTGATCGCCGATCAAGGGCGCTGCTTCGCTGGCAAGGAGTTCAGGGAGTACTGTGCTTCAGTTAATATCAAGCTACACTTGGTCGCCACAGGTAGTTCTCGTGCCAACGGACAAGTTGAACGAGTGATGAGCACGCTCAAAAACATGCTACTGCTGTAGAAACAAGCAATCGCTCGTGGCAGGATGCGTTGCCCGACGTTCAACTTGCCCTCAACTGTACCGTAAGTAGAGTCACGAAAGCTAGTCCACTCGAGCTACTGATTGGTAAGACAGCTAGACCTATCGATATTATGACGGCAAATGATGAAGAGCCTCATGTCGACATCATTGAGGTGAGAAAAATGGCTGTTGAGAACATGGAGAAAGCTTCTGCCTATGACAAGCAACGTTTCGATTCTACGAAGGCTAAAGTACAGTCATTCTCTGTAGGTGACTTTGTTTTGCTGCAAAATGAGGAGCGGAACCAGACGAAACTTGATCCCAAATACAAGGGACCGTTTAGGGTGATCGAGGTTCTGGATGGTGATCGGTACGTTTTGAAGTCTCTTTCTTCGCCCGGACGTACAAGTATGCACATGACCGACTGCGAAAAATTACAGACGTTGACATACATGTAGGTGACGATGACGAAACTAGCCATGACGATGACGATAACACCGACATACTTGTTGAATGCTTTCAACGTAAAATGTACCTAGCACAGTAAGAATTTTGTTATAATCTATTGTAATATCGTATTGTAACGTGAAAAACAAAGTAACATGATGAACAAACCTACTTTAACATTTATTTTGATAAAGGCTCGAAATGATTATCTTGAGGGTGTTGTGTTTTGTAACCGGATGGAGGTTACATGTGGAGGTGGCCGGATAGAGGTTGCCTGTTGTGTTTTGTAACCGGATGGAGGTTACATGTGGAGGTGGCCGGATAGTGGTTGCCGGTTGTGTTTTGTAACCGGATGGAGGTTACATGTGGAGGTGGCCGGATAGAGGTTGCCTGTTGTGTTTTGTAACCGGATGGAGGTTACATGTAAAGGTGGCCGGATAGAGGTTGCCTGTAGTGTTTTG